TATTACATAACTTCATTAAAAAACTACTTTTTACTAAATTTACATTAGGTGGCGCATGGATCGCACCAACAAATTTATTTGTAATTTCTGTGTCTTTCAATTTTGATCAATAATAATTCTTAATTAAACAATATAACTCTTCCAAATTTAAAACTAAATTTTTTACTTAAGCCTTTCTTTGTCTTTATTTCAAGTCTACGGAAGCCTCTTTTATCTTTATTTCTCTTTTCAAGCGTTAACATTTTCTCCAGTATTAATGCAGCGTTTACATGCGTAAATTGCACATCAACGAACTTCCATATAACGTTTAGTAGCGGTATAAGATTGTTCACTAACACATATTATCCCGTGGCTGTATTAAGAGGCGACAAAGGGAAACAAACCAATGGGCAGCATCATCTACCTACATTTTTTTTCTTAACAACTGCATGAAAAAATCTGTGGCTGCTAAACCGCCTGCCAACTGTGGCACCTGTGGCAAATGTGATCCCCCTTGTAATATTGCGCGCTCTTGGGTGTTTAAATAAAAGGCATGTTACTTGTAAGATGGCCCAAAGTATACTGTCTGAAATACAGGAATAGTACATAACGATACATGAAGAGAGAGAATTGAAAATAAAGAATAGTACATTACGATACAAGTGACTTATGTAAGTAGCTGATTATTGAACCGTGAAGTTAGCGCACGAGCGAAGCGACTACGTTATTTTTATACTACAAGTGAATTAAATCAAAGTTTTTAATTGAAAAATTGAATAAAATATCAACATAATATCCGAATGAAGAAGTTTTGTTAGTAAATACAGAGAATCAAAAAGGTTTAGTACAACAATTACAAAATCAATCTAAAGATTTAATTTAAAAGGGACCAAAGGTGCAACGAGACTCGATTTACAGAAGTTTTGTGTGATCCAGACGTTGGCTTATATGTAAATGATTTATCAAACCTGAATTTACAACGGTCTTATATTTTTTGCTATTGTAAATAGTAGTAATAGTGTGGCCGTGGTAGGAAAAGGGGAGATCTCCCGCCGGGCAAGGTGTTCTGCCCAGGGAGCGGCCAACACTCCGTGTGATAGTTCGGAGCTGTTCTATATATACTGTTTATGATTCGGAATGTTGATAGCGTGATTTAAGCTTCGGTGTGTTTCGCTTGTAGTGCGACGACAGCGCCGCTACAATAGTAAGTGTGGTTTTAATAATTATAATTTATATAATAAAGTTCAAGCTAAAGATATGGTTACAAAAAATTTTAATGATTTAAATAAAATAAATTACGGATTTTATAACATATATTAACTTTTTTATGTACTCGACGTTTCGAACACTTTACAGAACCCATGGTCACGGGGTAACTGAGGTGTTAGACATTCCGATGTCATAGTTAACCACGGCTACCCACAGTTCATTTTTTTTAATTAAACGGTTAAACTAGTTTTATTTAAAGAATCATGCCCACTTTCCATACATTTAAAAACCTGATAGTGAAAGTTTATGTATAGTTGTAAGGTATAATATAAAAACTGCATGTACGTTTAGAAAATATTGTCATATACCATTGAAGTAATATGTACTTACGTACTAGAACAGCTATATCAAACAAAAAATGTGCGCTACTTTGTGTCCGCGCGGTTGTTTTTTTTTATCATAGAATAAACATAAGTAGAATGTCCCGTAGGTAATACTAGATTGTATTGTTAATTAGGTAAATTATATCGAGAACAATATTTAAATTTTGTCATTTATTTTGTATATTATATTTGCTTATTTAGTATAATATTACATAATATTATATCACGATTACATTTTACATACACAATTACAACATTTTAATGAGATATTTATCTGAATATTTTAAAAGGTATCTAAGTCAAATATAAAAAACATATTAAATGTATGTTTAACAAAACTTATTAACATAACATTTAAATTATAAATATATTTATTTAAATTAGAATAAAAGTCGTTCATTAATGCTGGGCACGCGAGAGTTAAAAATGGATGAATTTATACCACTTTGACTTCTATGTGGAAACCTAAAAATAAAATAAAAGAATAATAAGCACATTTATATACGAAAAATTTTGCCAAATCATAATAATTTATATATGTTTCTACAAAAAAAATGTGTATAATAATATATTCGTCCTATACATAATTACCCACAGAAATGTCGCATCTGAACTTATTCATTTCCTAATCTATATTCCATGACACGAGATGGCGTCTTAGGAATAATTTGTTTTATTATTAATGCATAATACGTTTTTATTGATTAAGTATCTTATTAACCGATGAAAAGTAATTCCTTGGTTTTTACTGACATTTCTTGAATTATTCGTGCAATATCTAAGTACACACGACGGCATATTTTTATCAAGAGATTTTTTTAAATCAACACAACACGTGACAACTCTATAAGCGCCTAGCGAGTGACTGATTAAAGTGCGGTGTATGCACCGCAAATGAGTGGAATAGAGTAGCTGAATGCAGTGTCGCCTCTAGTACGTAGTACATAATAGCTCAATGTCATATACCTAGTCATTTTTACGATTAAAACGCTACGTAGCCCAAAAAACATTTTACTTTTTAGGTTAGGATTTGCCGTTACCAAATAGGTAATAAAATAATAAATGTGCTGAAACTTATTATTAACACTCGAAGTTAAGATTGGTATATTTCTAGCTATGTTCTAAAATGTCTTTTGTAGTTTGTGTACTTAGTGATTTCCTTGAAACCAACTGACCCTAAGGCACTGCTTACTCTCGATGCTTGTCACTATAAATTGTGTCGAGCACTATCTGCTGTTTCTCCAGCACACATAAGACATAAGTACTTGCTAACTACATTTTTAGTAAAAAAACTGTACATAGTATATACATCTCTGAAAAGTATAACTTATAGTCCGGTCAATCTAGACATTCGGTGATACATAAAGTTACAACAAGCTGATAATCGGTAAAATTGTTCAAAATAAAATTATGTATAAAATTTCTTCACAATTTCGATTATTTATCTTTTTTTTTGACCTTTGACCTTGAGTCAATTTTTTTCCATAAACAGGAATGGTGGGGAACTTCAAATTTTTATTTATAATTATATTTTGAACAATTTTACTGATTATCAGCTTGAAAACTATGTTGAGTCATGGTAAATCAGATGATAAGCGCTCGCTGTAAAAATCACAGTACGCGAGCAACCCGGGTTTGGGTTACCTCGTAAGCCATTTCCAAGTATTGTCAAATAAATTATTACTATTTATTGGGTTTTTTTTCGTTTTTTTTAAATAGGTATGGTGTTGTTCAAACTATTGTAATTATTATTCAAAAATGTAAGGAACCTAAATCATTTTTATCGTTTAGTAATACAATTGACGATAACAGACGATATATTTATAGGAACATACCTATATACATCAACATAAAGACTGCTGATATAATGGATTACACGATTGTCATAACCATTTCAAAGCAGATACACGTTACAAGTGTAGCGGGGTTGTTCTTCTTTTTAACCGACATAGTGAAAAAAATTTGCCAAGAATTTGTTAAAAAAATTATATCGTTTTCTCGTTGACACTTATACATTTTATGATGGCTGAATTAATAGTCTATCGAAAAATAGTAGTGGCCGCGAAGTTTATAAATTTTTAAACATTTAGTGGCCCCGAAATGTTGGTTTGACATAAATTTGTACACCTCTGTTACAAAATCTTTTATTTAATATCATTGAATAATTTGATACAAATGACTTGCACTTTTTTGTGTCAAAAATAAACAAATGGCTCTTTAGAATAATATATAAAATATGTTGCGCATATTGATTGGGTTATATGTAAATTAATGAACATTAACCACTCTGTCACATTTTTAGATAAAATTATGGATATTTTTGATATAAATTAAGATTCACTATTACTTGCAAAAAAATATCAACGTCATAGCCGAAAAAAATCATTCGTTATGATCAATTTAATTTTTCTAAGCATGCAAGAGAAAGTATATAATAAGTCAAAACAATTTTACTTCCGGGAGACAAAAACGTGACAGAGTGGTGGTGTGTGTGACAGAGTTGTAATTTTATGAAATATCAGACTGTGTTTTAGAATAAAACAAATAATTAAAACTTTGAAATATTTTTTGACTGATAAGACCTTAACAGTATTCATATTTGGCAAAAAAATATCTATTCGTAACTAATGAAATCATATTTCAGAATCTTTGGAATGGAAGATTCAAATTTTAGGATATTAAAAAACTATTAATTTGTCTCAACTAAATAAAAATCTTAAAAAGCACTTGTGCAACTTGTCACAACCAAATAAAAATTTAAAAACTTAAAATAAAATAATCATCATTAATAATAAATCAGTATATTAGGTCTCTAATCAGCCTTATTTCTCGAATACTGGCAGTGGCTTTTCGAACTCCAAAAATTGTCTTCATCCTTTTCTAACAACCCTAGGAGTAGGTAAGATTTCAATCAAATCATCAAATGGAACATCCGATAAGTCATTCTCCACCAATCTAAATAGTCTTCCACTATCATCGATTGGTTTTAAGGAACATTACCAGAATATCACCTTCTTCGTCGACGGTACTTTTAACAACTCCAGCGTAAGTGTATAGAACATTCCTCTCGCTTCGTACTTTAACTAAAACGTAAACTCCGTCTTCTATTTTATTTGAATGAATGTCCTGAGGCTGCAGTGTTTGGTATGAAGTACCGGATACCACGAGTGGATTGATAGAATCCTTAATTATATATGTGACCAGTGGCTGATCTTCTCCATATGATACACGATATCGTAAAATCTTTTCCTAGGCATCCCAATTTTATTCGTAATATCAGCAAGAGAAAAATCTTCTGTTCCAAGATTAGGTTCATTTTCTTCGTAAGAAGACTTCTGATTCGCTATATCTTCAGTGTCGGGTAGTGTAGGCTGATAAGTTTTAGGACCGTGACAGGAACAGAACCGTTCACAAAAACAACTCAGTATCCTATAGTTTAATATTCCACGACTTTCTGTAAACATCTAATGAACTTGCATAGTTCATTTCAGGGGTGTATAAACAACTTAATTTTGCTGACATCTTGAAGTGTAGAAAAAATTCATATGCGTCTGCAATATCTGCCCCTCTAGCTACTATAGCATCAGCTTGGCGTTTTAAAGTTCCACCAACTCCATCGGCAGCTCCTTTCCCATGCCCTGACTCAAAAAAGTTCCAAGATATTTTACGAAACTCGTAATTTTCGAAAAACCTATTTGCCATTAGGTAGAAATTAATCTTCTGCTTATACTGGGTCGCAGGTCCATCAGAAAAAAAGTGAACCGTTGTTACAACAGGATGTTTATTTTTTACTTCAGAAAGAATTGGGTGCAGGTGAGCCCAGATCGCAGAAGGTCCATGGTTCTGATTAGAAGACACTGTACAGTATGAAGTTATTTCTATTGATTGTGTTTCAGTAGAATAATTGTACATACGGCTGTATGGAGGGTAACTTGATTACGAGAACCAAAACGGTGAGACTGAACTTCAGAATGGTATTTACAGGCATAGTTCTCACTAAAATCTATATGTAAAGCTACTTCAGTTCCAGTAATACCATCGATACACTGTCGGTATGCTTTGTATTGATGTCGGACGTTGTAGACATGAGTTCTGAAATTCATGAGTTCATTTTCAAATTTTTGAATAACTTCTTGAATAGTGTGATTTTCGGTAACAGGGACATTTTTTGAAATCTTTATCTTTTTTCCTACCTTTTCTACAACTTCGCTTTTCCTCACCCACTGACGTAGTGGCACAATTCTTCCTCGGTTATTTTTTTCATAAACTATGCCCCGGGTCTTACACTTCGAACAAACACCTTTCATACAAGATTCAGCATCAACTGTACAAACTATTGTCTCCAAGATCGCATTAGTGTCTTTTTGCATAATAACTTTATTGTAATGTAGACTATTCACAACATAGCTTATATTTGCATGCAACTTACATAAGCAAGTATCCCTTCCATCTACAGCAGGTGCTTGCACAAAAAATGGTCCGTGTTTGGCAAAGTAGTTGTAGTGACACTTAATGCCACTGTTTTCTTTTAAAAAAGCTTTGTACAAGTTTCGCATTGAGTCCAATAAAAATCTCTTCTGAACTTTTTGTTTTTTGTGCGTTACGGTCTCCTTCTTTCCAGCTGTAGCTCTCGTTACATCATCCCGCAAAAAGAACTGATGTATTTTTCGTACGAGATGAGTCTGTTTTGGTAGAACGGTCTTGTATTTTAGAGGGCGATCTACGCCCAAAGCATCTCTTACCAACTGTGTTTGCATTCTGGATTTTTTTGTAATGGGAGTTTGAAGAATAGAATGTATGAGGCGTTTTTCTTTACGACTTTTGACAATTTTATAGCGTTCTTTGATGGCATTAGAAAGGACTTTATATTTATTTTCATCGTTGCTATTATGTTCCACTTTGCTGTCTCTTTTTGATTTTCGTGTAATCTTTTTTTTTATATTTACGGTTTTTTTTCCAGTTGTTCTATTTTTTCTTGTAATTTAATATTATCTCTGTACATCTTTGATCTATCTCTTTTCACTTTCTTTCTTCCCCTTGCACTAGACGCTTCCGATAGAGTGGGTTTCGCAGAATGGGGTCTTATTTGTGGGTTTTCCGGTATCGGCGACAGAGCCGGCGTGGCCAACAGTACATTTTCAAGCATCTGTTTCTTCTTTCTTCTTTTTTTATTTGCCTGTTGCCATTTTCGCTTCATAATTCGATGTTTTTTCGCGTTTATATCTGCCACCAACTTTTTTCGAGCGTGGTACCTTTCTAAATCCTTGCGTTTTACTTCTGCTACCTTTTCTGGGTCACTTTTTCGTTTCTCCTGACAACGTAGCTGTCTTTCTGCTGCTGATAATGGCTTTTTTGTCTTCATGCTAAAAATAAAAAGATAGAATATAATTTCCTATCCCTATTTAACGCTGACACACACTCAAAATCCAAATAAAATACATTCAAAATAAAAAAATAACCGAAAATATTTTTTATTACCACTCCATCACATATTTTACCATTCCGTCACAAAAGTTATGTGACAGAGTTGTCATGTGACAGAGGGGTAAAATTTCGTTGCACACTCGATAATATCTTAATATTAACATAAAATGTATGATGAACATGTTCGCATGAAAGTATTTCTCATTACGTAAGAGTGGATAATGTAAAATAATTATAATTGCCGTATTTTATTACGATTACTTACGTGACGAAAGAGTAGCCGAATAAACACACGCACCTCCCTCCACAGCTAACGGGCGACTAGTCCGCGGTCCCGTGGATGCTATAGGGGAAATCGTAGCGGGGGATCGGGAGCCCCATAGAGGAAAGTAATATAAGTCCCATAAGCATCTACATTCTCAAAACACTCCAAAAATAAAACAAAATATTCGCGGTCTGACACCGAATCGCTTTCCCCGTCCGATGACATTTCAATGCGCGCGAGTAGGTACACGTCTGAACTGGAACGCTGGTCGTGTGTGACTGTGACGTTTTATCGGACGAATGGTTCTATACACCGTCCGATTTAGGATCCGTTTTTAGAAAAAGGACGGTCGGAACATCTGATTCTCCGATTTTGTAATAATAATAATAAAATTAGGACCTGTTGCACAATACATTATCCGATTTCATCCGATAATTAGGATCTGATTGGATAGGATCAGTAGATGTGGATCATGCTTATGGGAGCCCTTAATTTCAGATCAACAACACCAAAGACGGGCAGCGCGGACACTCGTTTCGAATTTATAACCCACGTGACAGAATTGACGTACTAAAACATTTGTAGTAAGAGACAAGTTTTTGAGATTTTTTATGCTATTTGTTATAAATTTCAATTAAAAATAAATACTACACATTGGAAGATTATATCTTTTAGGATAAAAAAATATTTTTCTATATTATGTTGTCATATAATTTTTTTGTAATATTCTGGAAAATGCGCAAGTCGGGGCGATGGAGACAACTCGAATATGTATGAAAAATACAACTCTGTCACGCGGAGTTACAACTCTGTAACGTAAATGTAACCACAAAAATATAATTGCACACTTTATAAAATATGTTCAACCGCTTATGTCATAAGTACAATGCATGTTGAAATAAAAAAAAATTAAATAGTGAAGGAATTCTCTAAGCTTTTGTTTTGGTCGACTAGTGGAGACGCATTATTGTAGGTTAAAAAGAAGAACAACCCAGCGGCATTTTGATTTTATAAAAATAACAATGTTTTAATTAAAAGTAAAAATCTCACATTCCACACACACACACACACACACACACACACAATCTCACATTCACAGTCTGGGTCTTTAATACTTCTAAACACAATAAAAAAAAACACAGAATCATTAAAAGCGCTCCACTACGGTGAAGATATCGCGTAACATTCAAAAAAAAACGTTAGATTTTTCTATGTATAATGAATCCGGTTATCTAGAATAAGAAGAAGAAGTTCTTTCAGGCAAAACACGATAGCAAAAGATTTATTAATAACATCTATACTTTATTTGTCTTACCGCACGCGTTTCCTTTTAAGATAAATAATAAATTATTTATCTTTAGAGACAGTGTTTTCGTATTACCATGTTCACGTCATCATTACCATTATTACAGCCCATCACAAGAATATTGCTGAATGATTTCTTATATTTACGTGAACACTACACACACTACTAATAAAACGTATATAAATAGTTAAAGTTACACCTTGAAGTTATCCGTCGTAGAACTAGAGAATCTAGCATAACTCAACGGATGTCTAAGCTCAAGAGGCAACTGACCAGCCATATAGCTCGAAAAACCGACAAACGATGAAGATGTAATGTTCTCGAGTGGCAGCCTCGTACCGGTAGGCGAAGTGCAGGGCGACCCCCCACTAGATGGAGTGACGACCTGGTAAGACATGCAGGAAGTCGATGGATGCAGGTGGCTCGGGACCGTGCTTTGTGGCTTTCTTTGGGCGAGGCCTACGTTCAGTAGTGGACTTGTGAAGGGTGTAATGATGAAATTTAACGAAGGGTGTAATAAAGAAGAAAGTTTTTTGTTTGCGAAATGGATTAGGACCAATTATTTATAGGCCATATGAATTTTTTCTGTGCGGGAATCGAACCTACAGCCCGCAGCATCATTCCATCGCCATTCCATACTGTACTGAGCTGTCAGGAGAATGATCTCGTGATTATAGGTAGCATAAATACTACTAAACTAGAAGTGGCTGTTAAGAATATGCATTACTACTCACCATCCCCTGGGTGACGTAAAAGCCGATAGCTCCGCTTTAAGGCAATCCATGGGGAGGCATTTGTTCGATAGTGAACTTTAATAGGACGGTAACAGTACCGGTAACGATAGATGTTTAATCACTTCCAACACGATATAGTTCTATTGCAAGGGCAGTGATTTTTAAAATGATAAAATTTATAAGAAATAAATAACTAAATATCAACTAGTTTTATTTTATGCCACATTTTGTTATCCTCGCCTTGTAGCGTGTGTTATGCAGTATTTATTTAATCATTATTTATTATTTTAATTTAGTTAATAATTAATAATAATAATATTCCACAACTATCACACAACACCATCTAGTCCCAAGCTAAGCAAAGCTTGTATTATGGGTACTAGACAACTGATAAACATACTTATAATATAAGTATATATATACTTAAAATATATTATATTTTTAAATACATAAATATTATAGATAAATTACACCCAGACGCAGAACAAATGATCGTGCTCATCACACAAGCATTTGTCCTGGGTGGGAATCGAACCCACGACCTCCGGCTTAGCAGTCAGGGTCACTAACCACTAGACCAACAGGCCTGTGGCCAATTAATTGCACACATTTAATTATTAGTGAGCTGCATTTGTACTGGTTGTGACGAACGAATAAACTTCTTGATGGGAGGTAGCTAATACTGCAGTCCCCAGACACCTGGAACCAACTGCAAACAATGTGGCTATAGATACGTTGTCACTAATGACGAACATGGAATGCCTCACGGCCTGTCCAAGTTCAACATGGGTCACAGGTTTTGTCTCATGAGGGGCATCATATTTGCCACAGGTGCCACACTTGGCAGGAGGATTAGCAACCACAGTTTTTTATTTTCAAGCTGTTATTAAGGAAAAAATGTCAAGAAGGTGATGCTGCCCATTGGCTTGTTTCCTTTTGTCGCTTCTTACAACTGCGACGGGATCATATGGGGCAGTGGATAACCTTATACCACCACTAAACGTTATATGGAAGTTCCCTGATGTTCAGTTTACGTTAAATTCATTGAAATTGAATGACACAGAAATTTCAAACAAATTTTTTGGTACGATACGCGTGCGACCCAATGTAAATTAAGTATACTATGTCTATAACCTTCGCGCAAGTGCAAGCAATAAGTAGCAATTTTTTCTGATCTGATGAACGGTGTGGCAGCGCACAAAATCGAACAAACAAACATTAACTTTTATATATTAGATAACTTAATTAAAAAACTTCTTCATTTTAAAATATTTTAATTTTCTTGTTACTGTCAGAGTAACATCATATTTATTACAATAGAATTAAATATTTTAATGTTTTAGGATACTTGCACGCGGACCTTGCCCTACATTTAAAAATCAAGGAAACAATTATTAAATTCTTCGTCACTCATTTTTACAAGTCTAACTGATTCTGCCCACAGCTGCTTCGCAACTTTCTCGTTGTAAGCATTCCAGTGCGCTGTCGTTCGCTTGCAGTTTTTGAAGAATTCCCCACTGACTTCACCGGCCTTCTTATCCATCACCACGTGGATAGCAGTTTGAGCTCCTTGCCATGGCGTTTTAAACAAATTATAAGACAGAAACTTTATAATTACACCTCCTATGGAACCCACTGAATAAAAAATATTTGTCCCAACTGCGCCAGGATCGACAGAATTGATAACGACATGCGTGCCCTTGCTGCTCCTCAATCTACAAGTCAGTTCTCGAGCGAACAATACAAGAGCCAGCTTACTGTTGGCGTAGATTTGAACCTTGTACCAATAATTAGTTTTGTTTAAATTTTCTAAATCGATCTTGCCAATATTGTGCAATATTGATGACGTGTTCACTATCCTACTCGGTTCCAAAGGCCTTCCCGTCTTCTTCAAAAGCGGCAGGAGCAATAGCGTTAGGAGGAAATGTCCGAAATAATTTACTTGCATTATAAAACTCAGGCCATCTTTGGTCTGAAAATCACCGACAATACCAACTCCGGCGTTATTGACTAAAATATCAAGTCTAT